CTCCTCCTTCCCCTGCAGCAGCCGCACTTGCTTCCTCCTTCTTCCCCTCCCTTTCTCCTCCCCCTCGCCGCCGCCAACGCCTCCCTCGTCCCTTGTCCCGCCTCTCGTCCAGTTCTGCTGCTCACCGTCCCCGCCTCGTCCTGGGGCCACCACTACCCCGCCTTGCCACCTTTCCTCTTCGGCATCCCGCACTCCCCCGACCGCGTCCACCATTCACACCTCCCACCTTGCCTCATCTGGGCTCTCCCTCCGCCTCTCTCCTGTGGCTCAATCTCCGCCCCCTTCCTCCTCCTCCCCGCCTGCCTAGTCTTCTGCACTCGTGAAGTCTCCACGCGTGCACATCAGCTCCTTCACAACCGTGTATAGAATTCGCCTCCTCGCTGAAGCCTGGTTGACTTGACTCCGCCTCCTGCCCCTCGGTTTTCCAGGGCACTTCTTCGGATACGAGCATGTACAGTAGTAGGCACTCGGGCAGCCCTCACTAATTTCTTGTGGAATGAATAAAACTGTCTAGTGAGGAGCATCTGGGCCAGCCTGCCTTTAGGGTTGTGCTGAGTACGGCCTTCTCTTCCCTCTTTCCTTCCCTGTGCCGTGAACCGTAGATTCCTTCAACACCACTAAAACTATTTCGGACCTTTCTAGCCACAGCCCCATCCCCACTTCGGTGCCTAAGACTGAGACTTCCCCACCCCAGCACCTCTCCTTCCGGCTCCCCTGTGGTGGTTTTCATTCTACCTCAGACCACCCACTACCACTCCCTCTCCCCTCCGACGACTTCCGGGGAGACCCCCAGGAAGAAAAGCTTCCCCAGGCCTCTTTTCCTCCTTTCTCCTCGCAAAAGAGCAGCTGCTTCCTAACCTACGTCTTAGGAAGGAAGGCAGCTTGGACACCCTGAGTGTGAGGGGTAGAGTCCACTCTGCACTGCTGCTTTCTACCCATTGCTTATCTGCGCTTTTCTGAGGACCACAGGTTAGGAAAAGGACTTCTTAAGAATCTACCTCATATTGATTTAATATTTATTGAAGACTCATGATGAGTTGGAAGAATATCCCAAAAATGTTAGGCATTTTGCCTAGGAGAGACTTCCGATGTTGGCTGCAAGCCAGACTCCAGGTAATCTGCCTCATCCAAGATTTGCGCTGCATGGACAATAGGCATGATGCTTTTCAAGTGGTAATTAATAAAAACAACAACAACAAACAATTGATTCAGCGGTTCACTCTCTCACTCTCCATAGGTGGTTTGTTAAGTCCTCAACAACATAATCAAGGAACATTTAGGGCAAAGCTGGGAAGCTCCTGACAATGTCAGGCAACATCCAGAGACCTCAAGTTCCTGTCTTCAAAGAAATAAGAACAAGGGTACAGCACTCAGTAAATGGCTTCATTAATCTTTCCAATTTCCACATTGAACTTCAGTTGGGAATTTGGCCTAGCTGCTCCTGTGTTCGCAAAATGACTCTCTTTAATAACTCTAACCAGGCTAATTTCCTCACATGAGTCACAAATTCCTCATTTTCTAGGTAGAATACCAAAATGATTTTAATATCTGATTCTCATCCCAATAGTGACATGTCACCTTGGGCAATTTACTCAACCTCTCTGGTCCTCAATTTCCTGTCTATTAATTGAAAGATACTATCACCTAATTCCTAATTTACACACATTTAAATGAGTTGAAGTTTTTGCAATGTTATGCACTAACTCGCAGAAAATACACACTGCTACCTGTTGCAACCTATCTGTGCATTTGCATGTGTTTACCCAAAGACATATACACACTCAAATTCATTGTACTCCCCCACATCTGCATAAACAACTCTACCCATCCTTCAGAGCCCACAGGAAATTGAACTCTCCCTAACCCCACTCCCTTCAGCACCTATAGCTCTCTCCCTCCTTTGAACTTCTACAGCATTAATTGCTTGAACTACTCATTTTATTATGAATTACATACATCCTTCCATTTTTTCCCCTTGTGAGTACTCCCTCCCACTAAGCTCTTTGAGAGCCCAGGAAGGGTCTTAATCTTTGCTAAATCCCCTATAGTACCTACTGGAATGGCAAACACATAGTGAGCACTAAATAAACACAAAAAGATTTTTGCCAACTTAGGTTAAAGGCAAGAACTTAGCTGAAATGGTGTGTCAAATTTTAGTTAGTAAAACACTTCAGATAGGGCCGGGGATTTAGCTCAGTGGTTCTGCCGCTTGCCTCGAAAGAGCAAGGTCTGGAGTTCAATCCCTGGTACCAAAAATAAAAACAAAAAAACTTCAGATAAATATCCAGATCATGTCTTTTCTAGCACACAGGACAGAGCTTTCTTATCTCCAAACATCAACAGGAGGAAATAAACTTTGCTTTTTAGGGAAAGCCTTTGAAGTACAGGATAAAAAGGGAACCGAGACCCCTAGCACAAAGGTGCACACCTGCAATCCCAGCAATCTGAGGCTGAAACAGGAGGATTTTGAGTTTGAACCCACCATTAGGAATTTAGCAAGACTTCTGGAACCTTCTCAGAATGACTTGCCCAGGTTGATGCATGTAGTTCCCATAGCTGCCCATCCATAGTCTGGATTGTTGTTACAAATCAAACCCAAAAAAAAAAAAAAAAAAAAAAAAAAAAAAAAAAAAAGCCTCTAATTCAGGATCAGTTTAGTGAGATCTTGAGGATAATTGCCCAAGAAAAGTAAGGGGCTTGGAGTAGAAATGGTCTCTAAAATACCTGCTGGCAGGGCCAGAGATTTAGCTCAGTGGTTTCGGCGCTGGCCTGGATCCCCAGTATGAAAAAGTAAATTAATTAAATTTTTAAAAATAAATAAAATACCTGCTGGCTCCAATCTTCTATGGTTGCATGAACTCAGCCTTCCTGCATTTTCATCCCAATCTTGTCATTTTAAGGCAGCCATATCTACCTGTCTTGCTGATATAAGCTGCTTGTTAAAACAATCCCTAATCCTTTCAGCCAAAGTGCCTTCCCTTCAGTTATGAGCCCAGCTGAATTCCTGTGGAGTGTTGTAGATTGTGAAATATCAGAAGTAACTGCCTCCGCTGTACCTCAGTCTGAGGCTCTGAAAAGTGAAGTGACCTGACTAAAAGCACACAAGTTAGTGGCGGAGTGGGAACAAGAATTTAGGGTTCTAACTTCCAGTCCAATGTTCTTTTAACACTATGAGCCAGAGAAAGCTCTTTCTCTTTGATTTGGCATCTGTCATTTTCTCTTCCAAAACTTCTGCCCTTCTATCCACAATGCAGCCTTAAAGTTAAATGCATGCATTATCTCCCACAGGCAAAAAATGCAGAAACTCCATGTTCTACGAAGTGTTATTGGTAAAAATAATCTGCAACTATATGGAAGAGAGTGAAGAGAGAGAAGCTTTTGTTTTGATCTGATTGTCTGCTTACTGTATTTCCCCTCCCATTCCTTCAACACTAGGATTCATTTCATTACTCAGCTTCTATTACATGCATTAAAAATGTGCTAGATCTTTGGGCAATCCCTGCCCAGAAGAAGCTTAAATTTCCCCCAAGGAGAGGACTCAAAAAGAAGAAAAGAAGAATGGTTCAGTACCAATACACGAGGAAGGTATAAATGAAAGCCAAACAGATGAGAGCAAATCTTGCTTGTAGCAGTGAGCTATGTGGGCAAAGGAGCAAGAATTCAAGAGCAGTTCAACTCAAAGGAAAGTCATCTGTGGGGTGAAAGGTCAGCATGGCCAGCACCCTAGGGAGATACAGGCAGGAAGAGAGGAGGAAGCCTTGTGGGGTGATGGCAGTGCTCTGTGTCTTAACCTGGATGGTGTTACATGGGAGTACACGTATAGAAATACACAGAGAGCTGTGCACTTTAGGCACTGTAGTGTATGGCAGTTATACTTGAATTTTTAAAACTGAAGAGTGCAGAGAAGAGGGAACACTAAGATGTGGAATTGGCAGGAACACTTACATAGAGGAACAGGCAGCATTTGAATGGGGATGTAAATCTAGTTTAGTGCTCCTTAGCTCTGGCTGCATTTACAAATCATCTGGGCAGCTTTTTAAAACTACTGAATCTTGGGGCCCACCCCACACCAATATACTTAGAAGATGTGGAAGCAGGGCAAGATGGTGCATTAGCTTTTCATCTTTCTCATAAAACACCTAAGAAAATCAACTTGAAAGGAGGAGAGAGTTATTTTGGCTCAGTTTCAGAGGTTCTGTCCATGGTCACTTGACCCCATCACTGTGGGCCTGTGGTGAGGCCAAACATCATGGTAGGGAGCATGTGGCAGAGCAAAACTGCTTATCTCATGGCAGCAGGGGAGTGGGGGGCTGGTCAGCATCATGATATCCTCTTCAAGAGCATGCCTCGTGACTAACGATCTCCCACTAGGGCCCACCGCTGAAAGCGTCTACCAGCTCTGGCAGGATGTAATCCCAATAAGCTGGTGGCAGAGGCAGAAGAATCACCAAGAGTTCAGGGCCAGCCCCAGCTACTTAATACTTAGTGTGTCCAAGGCCAGCCTGAACTATATGGTGAGACCTTGTCTCAAAAAACAAAGCAAAACAAAACTTAGATTTGACCAGCTCCCAACAGCAAAATAGGTTGATCACCAAGCCTTGATATCATATGGTCTTTGGGGGACATTTAAGATTCAACCATAACAAATGAGAATTTTTTAAACCAAGTTTGAAAACTAGTACAGTTATAGTCACTACAGCAGGAAAATCTAAGGCTGATCAAACACCATTAAGTGTTCAGATGTCGCATACAGTATCTTAATTCAGCTTCATGATAAAACAGCTCACAAAGTTAGTTACTGTTGTTGTTATGGTACACATTTTACAGATGATAAAGTAGAAGCACAGATCATACTGCCTGTAAGTGCCAGAGCTGGGATTCCCTCCCATATCTGCTAGCTCCCAAAGCCAGTGACCTGAAATCATACACAACATTGCCTCTCAGTGGATCATATCACCAGGGAAGTGCAGGCAGAGGCTTCTCCCTGCCGCCCTCTGTCTCTCTCCTATGTTGTTTAGCCTGGGGACTAAACTACTAGGCTCAAGCAATTCTCCTGTCATAGTCTCATGAGTAGGTGGGACTTTAGTTTAATTTTTTTATTGAGTGTTAAATTACATGCACATTTCAATGAGTTTGACAAATGTATATACCCTTATAATCACCACTCACTCCTTTGCACCCATCTCCCATTTAGCCACACCTCCAGAGGTAATCTCTGCTCTGATTTCTATCACTGCCAATTTGCTTTGCATTCTTTATT